TGACTGACATTTTTCAATTATAAATGAAAAGTGATTTGTATAATAAAAAATAGAGATAATGTAAAAGAAAAATTGTATAAAGCTGTCTAAGACCAAGTACAGCACGAGATTACCCGATAATTATCTGTTATATTTAACCAATCAAAGTCGTGAAATTTGCTTAATCCCAGATCAGTTTGAAAATCAAAACAAATGATTAAACTCGATTATTTCAAAATTGTTTATATTGCAAAATAGGTTCTTTTAATATGAAAGACCTTATATATTTCGAAATAATATACACCCCTTATATAAAATTCTTGAATATTAATAATATTAACATTTTAATTAGATTTTTATCTGTATACAGTCAACCCTTTATATCTAATACATGCACTCTTTATATACACTATATATACTTTTCTAAATACACACTAATTTTCTGTCCCAAATATATAGAATACATATTTTCTCCAAATACATATTTTTAAAAAAATTTGTATATAGTCCCAAAAAGGGTTCATTTACAAAGAGTTAACTATATAATAAATGAATTCTTACAAATGAAGATTTAGGTATTTCTAAAATTTACTCTACCTTCTATATATTAAGATTCATAATTGTAAAATATAACTGATCTGTTTAAACAAAAATCCTGAAAAGAAGCTTTCAGAAATCAGCTAATTTAAAGGTAGATGAGTGGGTCAGCTAGTATTTTACAGATCTGATCTGAAGATCTGAATCTGAATCAGATTTGATCTATCAGATCAGATCTGGATCTATGATTTATAAGATCTATCGAATTCAGATTCACATAGGGGTCTGAATTGAATACCCAATACTATACTATATACTTATTGATCAGTAATAATATATATAAGTATGCTAATTAAAATGATAAAAAAAAATTATTACTTGCTCCAACACTAGAACAAGATTTATATTATTTTTTTAAATAAGTTTCATACGATTTTATTAAATAAGTCTTATATGATTCTTTTAAATAAGTCTTATACGATCCTTTTAAATAAGTCTTATACGATCCTTTTTTTTTTTTTGTTTTATGATTTTTTTTTTTGAAACAAGAATATTGTAATGCCAATTCTGTCTATATCTTCTTATGAGAAAGAGTATGAACCAATATATGAGAAAGAGCATAAACCAATATATGAGAAAGTGTATGAACTAGAGTTACAATTAGATAAATCTGAAGTTAGTGAATTATTGCAAGTACAAAAGTCAAATAGCAGTAATTCTACACATACCAGGTAATTAAAATGTTATAATTGTTTAATATATTGTTTAATATATTGTATTAATAGTATGTTTCATAGATCTTTTGTATAGAAATACTTCA